TCGGGCTGCTGAGAGGATTAAATTAATTTAACCTGCCCCGCAATTCAATTTAATTGACCGCCATCACTTTATGAGTTATTCTTCTCTCATCTCCATTGCTCTGCAAGGCAGATTCCTGGAAAATAGCAAGGATGCCCCAGCAGGGATGAGCTACATAGGAAACTGCGCATACAGAGTCAGACCATCGACCAGTGTAGCTCAGTGCTGTCGACACTGATTGGCAGAAGCTCTCCAGGATACTGTCCCCCCCCCCCAAGTCTTACCTGGAGAAGCGGGAGAATGAACCTGAGACTTTCTGCATGCAGGGCTGCTGCTTGTGCTGGGCCCTGGGGTGACCTGGGTAACCCGGTCCAGATCCAGTCCCGAATCCAAGGGTTCTGCGAGGAGTCAGTCCAACAGGGCCAAGGCAGGAAACCAGGCAAGGTCAGGCACAGGATCACAGGCAGGTTCTGGCAAACAGCAACGTTGCTCCCACAACCTGGGGCAGCGTCCAGCAGCCCTTTATCTTTGTCGGGGTATCGGCCGGTCCTGATCCCCCGGCGATTCACCTCCCTGTCTCGCCTGAAGGCGAGCACTCCTCCAGCGAGGACTCAGGTCCCTCCTTCTCTCAGACCTCAGTCTCTGCAGCTCGGGAGACGTTAGTGGGTTACTAGACCCAGAGGCTGCCTCAGCCTCTCCTGACCCAACCGGTAGTGGAGCAGCTGTAAGTGATGGCCCAGCTGAAGGCAACGAGGTCATCCCCACATCTGGAGCCAGGGCAGGCTCAGGCCCCTGACTCGGCCCAGCTGGTGCTTGTTGCAGGGGAGCCTGTGCAGAATGGGGCTCTTCAGAATCAGGCCCCAGACTTGGACCAGCTGGTGCTTGTTGCAAGGGAACCTGTGCAGACTGGGGCTCTTCAGGATCAGGCCTCAGACTAGGTTCAGCTGCCGCCTGAGGCAAAGGATCCAGTGCGGACCGAGACTCCTCTGGCTCCGAGTCCAAGCGCGAGTCCCAGGCCATCACACTGCTACTGCTTCCATCCTTAAGGTTTCATTGGCACAAAATGCAGTACAGATTTGTAGGCGTAGACCATCTCCCAACTTAAACTACAGTGGTACCTCAGGTTACATACGCTTCAGGTTACAGACTCCACTAACCCAGAAATGCGTGGTGCTTCAGGCTAAGAACTTCACTTCAGGATGAGAACAGAAATTGGGCTCTGGCAGCGAGGCGGCAGCAGGAGGCCCCATTAGCTAAAGTGGTGCTTCAGGTTAAGAACAGTTTCAGGTTAAGTACCAACCTCCGGAACGAATTAACCTGAGGAACCACTGTAATTAACGAACCCCCATACATGGTTCTATGGGTGACTCTGGGTCAGCTCCCTGCGGTAGTTTATTGTTGTACTTTGTTTTTAAATTTATTGTTGTACATTGTTTTAATTGTTTGTTTTCCTTCTGTGACTGTACCCCCAAGTTTGTTTTATAAGCTGGTCTCCGACCGTAATAAATTATCTATCTCTCTATCAGTCGCCAAGCAAAGTGTGGTCAAACGTGGCCTTTGAATTTCTGGAAATAAACTTCTAAAGCTGAGAAATTCACTTTGGAATCAGATGAGCGTAAGAAGAGCCCAAATACCAGGATCAGGCCGAAGGGGGTCAACCTAGTCCAGCATCCTGTCTCTGCAATGGTCCCATGCCCCTAAGAACCTAGGAATCCAGATAGACTTGCTCTGGACCTGGAGGCTCCATAGGAACATCGGCTGGCTGCTGGATGAGGCCAGAGGGGACCCAGTCTAGCCCAGTCTCCTGTTCTCACAGTGGCAAACCAAACGCCTCTTCTGTTAGATACGAAAAATTTTCTTTTCTTTTCTTTTCCAATGCCTTGGATTTGAACTGACTCCCTGGGAGCAAACTGCTCTCCACTCCAATCAAGCAGTTTATAAATGCTGTGAAATAAAATAAATATAATATGATGAACGGTGACGAGTTTTAGCTTTAGGAAACAAAATTTCAAACAACTCCCATTTCCTAAGCTTTAAGTAGGAGTCTGGGGTTCTGCCAGATTCGAAATGTGTAAAAACTTCCTCCCTCTGCTGTACAGTGGTGCCTCGCAAGACGAAATTAATCCGTTCCGCGAGTCTCTTCGTCTTGCGGTTTTTTCGTCTTGCGAAGCACAGCTATTAGCGGCTTCGTGGCTTAGCGGCTTTAAGAAAAAGGAAACAAACTCGCAAGAACTTGCAAGATGTTTCGTCTTGTGAAGCAAGCCCATAGGGAAATTCAGCTTGCGGAACGACTCAAAAAACGGAAAACCCTTTCGTCTAGCGAGTTTTTCGTCTTGCGAGGCATTCGTCTTGCGGGGCACCACTGTATATCCACTTGGAAGATGCATCTGCCATGCTAAAGCGTTCACATGAATGCAAATAGAAATAGAAATACAAATAATATCACTGAACATCACACGCAGAGGAAAATTGCTTTGCAAAAATGTCACCACCCGCTGTGTATCTCCCCCCCCCCCCTCAGTCCTTCGGAGGAGGCACATGGGAGAGAGAAAATGGTTCCCCTTGTTCTTTTAGTTCCCTGAAATGAGCCACAAGATATGGGCGTAAGAGATGCATTGAAGAAGGCACAGAGAGTCCCATAGTCATGGGAAGAGCCTTTTGCCTCTGTGGGAAGCGGAAACGGCCCTTTTGCTGTGGGCTCAAGATGGCCACTGAAATCCACTATAAAGGAAAGGCTCTGGGCCTCAGCCGTTTGCCACAGGGACTAGAGAGCTGTTTCCTAAAAGGCTCTTGTCTCTCCTTCAGCAGAAAGCAGAACCACTCTGAAGCCCCACGGCAATGTTACATGGAGAGGAATAGCGGCTCTAAGCCTGAGGAAAATGGCCGCCTGCTTCTCCCTCTCGCACAAGGGTTGGTGTGTGGCAAAGGACGGCGCTGAGATGAGAACAGGGTGAAGAGGAAGGGCAGCGCTCTGCTCCTCATACCCAGGAGTTGCTGTTTACCATTATGGAAATCGGTGTGGGGCGAAACGGCACTTTCTCATCCCACTGGAATGCTACCCCAGTTCTTAATCAAGACAGCCACCACCCTGTGTTACTGGAATTCCCCTCCAGAGAAAAGAAAAAAACAATTTTCACAATATGTAATTAAACTGCGGAACTCCCTCCCACAGGAGACAGAGACAGCCACCAATTTGGATGGCTTTGAAAGGCAGTTTTGTGGAGGATAATAAGGCTACCAATGGCTACTGGCCATGGAGCCTGCCTTCTCCTCCTCTGCATTATGCCTCTGGGAAGAGCATTGCTGTTGCACTCTGGTCCTGCTTCTCAGAAGATGTGAGAAATAATATATTGTTGCCTTTTTGTTGTTTATGTTTTATTCATACATTTATTTGAGCATACACATTTCATTAATCCATAGCTTGGCCATGTTTGCACAAGATGCTTCTAAGCAATTGTTTACCTTAACATTAGCAATTATTGATTCCCTTTTTATTCTTTATTTGCCTCTCATAAACATACAAAGAGACAGACAGACAGACAGGCAGACAGACATATGCTTGCTAGGCTACTGGGCATAGAAGCGAAGCTGATCGCTTAGGGTGATAAAATTAACCACAAGAACTTTGCAAGGTACACATTGCAAGGTACGCAGGATGTAGCTAGCGGCTGTGAACATGAACATATCTACATACCTGTTGGTTAAGCACCTGTCTTTATCAGATAAGAAACTGACTTGACCTTATCTGAAGGAACAGTCAGCGGTTAGGGCAGGCATAGGCAAACTCGGCTCTCCAGATGTTTTGGGACTACAGCTCCCATCATCCCTGACCACTGGTCCTGTGAGCTAGGGATGATGGGAGTTGTAGTCCCAAAACATCTGTAGGGCCGAGTTTCCCTATACCTGAGCTAGGGGCATAGAAAATAGAACAGCTTGTGGTCAGCGGTACGTAATTTAAGACCACTCTGCAGTAAAGACGTTCTGCTGATGCTGCAATAAAACTATCTGCTGAGGGAGAAGCAGGCGGCCATTTTCCTCGGGAGAGCAACGGCTTGGAGCCACTAGTCCTCTCCATGTAACATTGCTGTGGGGCTTCAGAGCGGTTCTCTGTTTTCCACTAAAGGAGAGACGAGAGCCTTTTAGGAAACAGCTCTCTAGTCCCTGTGGCAAATGGCTGAGGCCCAGAGCCTTTCCTTTACAGTGGATTCCAGCGGCCATCTTGAGCCCACAGCAAAAGGGCCGTTTCCGCTTCCCACAGAGGCAGAAGGCTCTTCCCATGACTATGGGACTCTCTTTTTTTTTAAAGAATATTTATTCCAATTTTAAAGTTACAGAAAAAATATATAGAAAACAAACAAACAAACCACATACATCTTACAAAAAACAGACAGTAAAAAAGAAATAAAAAAGACAAAAAATCACAGTAGGAAATAACAAAAATCAAATTAGACCATTACAACCATTTTCCCTTTTACTTATTTCCATGACTTCCTCTCACCTCCCTGCTTTGTATTCTAGTTTAAATCGTATCTCCAGCAAATCCTTCTAACCTTCTTTTCTTTTACTTATTTTAACATTCGAAAGTATTTAATTCTCCTCTATCCTCATTTTACACTTCATATTTACTTATTCCATTATACCCTGTCTGCCAATACGGTCTAGTATTCTTCTCCAACCTTTTTCTAACATTCTTTTATATTACAGTGTTTCTGGAGATATATTTTAAATTTTTTCCAGTCTTCTTCCATCAACCCTTCTTCCTGATCTCGAATTCTGCCGGTCATCTCAGCCAGTTCCATATAATCCATCACTTTTCTCTGCCATTCTTCTCGGGTAGGCAATTCTTGTGTCTTCCAGTATTTCCCAATAAGTATTCTTGCCGCTGCTGTCGCATACATAAAAAAAATTCCTGTCTTCCCTTCGCACCAATTGGCCGACCATGCCCAAGAGGAAAGCCTCTGGTTTCTTCACAAAAGTGTATTTCAATACCTTTTTAAATTCATTATATATCATTTCCCAGAAGGCCTTGATCTTTGGGCACGTCCACCAAAGGTGGAAAAAGGTTCCTTCATTTTCTTTGCATTTCCAACATTTATTATCGGGCAAATGATAAATTTTGGCTAGCTTGACTGGGGTTAAGTACCACCTATAAATCATTTTCATTATATTTTCTCTTAATACATTGCAAGCCGTAAACTTCATACCTGTGATCCATAACCGTTCCCAGTCAGCAAACATAATATTATGCCCAACATCTTGTGCCCATTTAATCATAGCAGACTTAACCATTTCATCCTGTGTATTCCATTTCAACAGCAGATTATACATTCTTGACAGATTTTTAGTTTTAGGTTCTAACAATTCCGTTTCCAGTTTAGATTTTTCCTCCTGGAAACCAATCTTTTTTATCTAGGTTAAAAACCTCCCTTATTTGATAATAGTGAAGCCAATCTCGAACTTTAGTTTTTAATTTGTCAAAACTCTGCAATTTTAATTTATCTCCAACTTGTTCTAAAATTTCACCATATTTTGGCCAGTTTGTCTCCATATTAGTTTTTTTCAATGCCTTTGCCTCCATTGGTGACAGCCACCTATGACTATGGGACTCTCTGTGCCTTCTTCAATGCATCTCTTACGCCCATCTCTTGTGGCTCATGGGTATGGAGTTATGCAACCCCTGAGCCAGGAAGATAAGGAACTGTACAACATTTAGGAGACATCTGCAGGCAGCTCTGTATAGGGAAGTTTTTTAATGTTGAATGCTTGCCGCATATATGTTGGAAGCCACCAAGAACTGCTGGGGCAAGCCAGTCAGATGGGAGAGGCATAATAATAATAATAATAATAATAATAATGGCATAGGACATCTCTATTTTCATTGGAGAAATGTTGGAGGGTATGTATGGGCCTTTAGAGGAGTTCTCTGACTTCCCCAGAAGGAGAGACACCAGCCTCTTAGGGAACATCTCTCTGTTCCCCGTGCCAAACGACTGAGGCCCAGAGCCTTTCCTTTATGCAGTAATGGATTCCAGCCGCCATCTTGAGCCCCAAAGCCAAAGGGCCGCTTCCGCTTCCCACAGGGAGGCAGAGGGTCCTTACCACCATGATAGGACTCTTTGTGACTTCTTCACTGCACATCTGAGGCCATTTCAGCACTTGTGAGGGGAAGTGGCTCATTTCAGAGACCTAAAATGCCGAGGGGAGCCATCATTTTCCCTCTCTCTTATGGCTCCTCTGAAGGACTGAGGGGGAAATGTAGACTGGAGCAGCCACACTTTGGGGGGCTGACATTCCTGAGGTAAAAAAATGGGGGGAAGAGGGAAAACAGAAGAGGCTCGGGTTTTTTTGCAGAAGGATTTGAAGTGGGAGCCATTTGTTTGATAAATGCCACCACCACTATGGACCCTTGTTTAATTTTTGCTGCTGTTGTTCTCCACGCCTCAGAAAACAACCACAGCCGCAAAGTATATGTGTTTTATTTGATCGCTTGGGTTCTAATCTGCTAGAAGAATAGAGGAGTCAGCCTTCTGCCATGTGTCTGCTCTGAGGCACTGAGGAGGTAAAAAGGAGGCTGGGGCAGCCATGTTGCCGCTGGGGGCGACCTTCCTGAGGTAAAAAAAAAAAAGGGAGGGAAAACGGAAGATTTCAGGTAGCAGCCATTCGCTTGATAACCCTTGTCCCCTCCGGCTTTATTAACTTTTCTATTACAGTCCAGCAGTATAGTAATCTCATGAAATGAATAAATTAATATTAAGTAAGTAGGTATTTATCCTTCCAGGCTCAAAGCATATGTGTTTTCATGACCACAAGGACTTGCAAAATCCATTTTTGCTGCCTTCTTATTCTAGGGCTGCCATACGACCGGGAATCGCTAAGCAAAATGTCGTCTGGGCAGATTCTTGCTGAATGCTCAGGAAAATCTAGACTTATGGCAAGTTTAATAATAATAATAAAGCCCCCAGAGCTTTTCCAGATGTTCAAACAAAACAAACAAGAAACACCTCAACAGCTTTGAAACCCCCCACAAAAAAAGCAGCTCAACAGCTCTGTCCAGATTTTCACTTTTGGGAATACGGCAACCCTAATTAATCCCCAAACCATGAGTTGATAATTTAGAAGTAACTGATCAGCCTCAGAGTGTGAGGCCAGCAGTATTTCCCAGGACGTGGGGCTTCCGATATTTTTTGAACTGTCTGCTTTCCGTACCGACCCCAATTTTAGAGAACAACATAATTTCCCCTCAGAAACGAACAGCTGAGGAAATGCTTCCTTGGCCAGGCACCCTCTGTAATCAAAGGTGCCAAGCTGCCTGCCAGAGACTGAGCTGTTATGTATCATTACTATTGCTTTTAAAGGTGTATATCATGCCTGAGAAGCGCTAATGAGTGCACCGACTAATTAACAAGGGAAACCAGCCAGATGAGTAGGAGCATCAAACTCCATTGGCAGAGCACATGTCTTGCAAACAGAAGATCAACCCCCAGCAGCGTCTCCTGGGAGGACTGGGAGGACTGGAGACAAGGCTGACGTTGGGCTCCCATCCCCAAACACGCCACGACTCTTGCTTGAAAGGAAGAAAGGCGGATAAAATCATGATATGGAATTGTGAAAACACTGACGACAAGAGGCAGGACTATGAGGATGTGGAAAATGCTTTGGAATTCAGACCGTGGGAAGTCAAAAAAAATAAGATTACAATTTGGAAGACAATTGGACTTTTTATTTTAGTTTTTTATCTTTATTGGATTGGATTTGATATGCTAATTGGATGTTCTTATTGGAAAATTAATACACGCTTTTTAAAAAAGAGGTAGGAAGGAAGAAAAGCATCTTTATTCAGGCTATTAGCGCATGCTCAGAAGTCAAGATTCCAGGATACACGAGCAAGGGTGCAGGTTCATAACTGAACAGAAGCTATGGAAATGTCCCGACAGTTGACACGCACACCGGCAGGCTTTTAAGGATGATACTCGCAAAACAATTTTTCTGCTGTCTGTGCATCTGGGCAGCTTTGTCTGATTCCAGCTGCAAAGGGGGCACCTGTTTCTCCGTGACAAGCCTGCGTCCTGCCTGCCACCCCTTTCTGATCCCTCATTCTGGTCAAACTCCTTCTCTCCAATTAACAGACCCTCCTACAGTCCTGCAGACTGAGCTGCCTTCCCAGGATCTCTGTAAAAATTCATCTCACGGTTGCATAGGGAATGCATCTCATCCTTCCCTTTGCCCTGGCCCAGCCGGCCAAAAATGGCCCCAGACGGGAATCCTCAGTGGAAGATGTGCAGCTCTTGAGGGTTGCTTGGCGCAAATGGAGGAAAGATACACAGTCAGCAGAGCTAGAAGGAAAATTTGTAAGGAAAGAGTAATGTGGGACAGAGCAAAGATGAGGTGTGGGCGGCTACGGATGTCAGAAAAGATGGCATCCCTGTCATCGCGGAGACCTGGCTGGCCTCCGAGATTACGAACCATCTCCAGGTTTGTTATTTCAGTTTCCAGCTGGGGGCTTTCCTTTAGGGTGGGGAACGTGGGCTATTCTAGGGTCCATATTCTGAGTGACATTAAAACTGCATTCTCTTCTAAACACAAGAACATCTGGCATATCCAATTAAGCAGCAGAATTGACGTCAACGACTGATATTCGCAAAATAAAAGGAAGGGAAATTTGTCCCTTGAGGAACATCATCAGCACCTCTGGGCTGATTCCCATGATTTCAGTGGACATCTTGGAGGAGTCTTGGAGAACCTGAAATGAGAACATTTTCAAGGATACTTTCAGAAAGATGTGGATTCCCAAAGAAATAAGTGTTTAATGTTGTAGCCTGCCCTGGGATGCAAGGGAAAGGGATGGGTGACAGGTTAAATAACAATTTTAAAAAGAACCTAAGAACAGCTGGCTGGATCAGGCACAGGAAATCTCTTGTGATTTCCAGAACTTTTGTTCAGAAACATGCTGCCTCCAATCGTGGAGGAAAGCATAACCATGGTGGCTGGTAGCCAGCAATACCCCTTCCCACATTCAGCATTACATTCAGAAGACAGGGAGCTCCTTTTAATGCGTCCAACCTTCTAGCAGAGTGTTGTCCCTCGAGCAGGAATGGGGAACGCTTTGAATCTGAACTACAAATCTCAGCAGCTGCAGGAAGCAGAGGAGACGAGGGCTGTAGTTTGGCCATGTCTGGAGGGCCAGAGGTTCCCCACCTCTCTTCACCAGAAAGAAGGATTCCCTGTCCAGGGTTCAGGGAGCACCTGGCTCTGCCAGACCTGCCTCCTGCAAGAAAGGGTCAGTGTGGCTGGAACAAGGCAGCCCTGCATAGAGTGAGCCTCAAAAACCCAGTTCAGATGCTACATGGGCAGCAGGTCTGACCATGGCCAGAGCAGCTTTCTCCAGAAAGACAGGGAACAGGGACACTAGGCAAGGTTCTGCAAAACCACTCAGGACCACGGCTGCTATCTTCTTTTCCTAGCTGGCTCCAACCATGAAAGTACAGTGGTGCCTCGCAAGACGAAATTAATCCGTTCCGCGAGAGTCTTCGTCTAGCGGTTTTTTCGTCTTGCGAAGCAAGCCCATTGACGGATTAGCGCTATTAGCGCTATTAGCGGTTTAGCGGCTATTAAAGGCTTAAAGGCTTAGAGGATTAGCTGCTAAAAGGCTATTAAAGGCTATTAAAGGCTTAGCAGATTAGATAAAGGGGGGGGGAAGCGAAAAAAAAATCTCAAGACTCGCAAGGTATTTTCGTCTTGCGAAGCAAGCCCATAGGGGAATTCGTCCTGCGAAGCAACTTCAAAACGGAAAACCCTTTCGTCTAGCGGTTTTTCCGTCTTGCGAGGCATTCGTCTTGCGGGGCACCACTGTACCCAGTTTCGCATTTCTAAAAGCCCCAATACAACTCTAGGTTAAAATTTTATGTTGAGCCCTAAACAATCCCAGTAGCACAACTCCTTGGATGTAGAGATTTGAGTTTCTCTTCCCCAAACTGCTTCTTGTCTCTCAATTTGCAGAACCAAATTTCAAAATTATTTTGCTCCATAATCAAACAGTTCCTTCCTTCTCTCCTCTAAGAAGCGATTCAGTTCAAGACAACTTACCAAGTGATGGAGAAGCCGAGTGGCGGAAGAGAGGAGATGTTTCAAGGCACTGGTGGAAAAGCCTTTTATACGGTTTCTCTCTGCACTATTCGGGCAACATGGCGTCACTAATTTGGCTAAGTATACCCCACCCCAGTCAAGTCTAGATGTTACCAGAATGCTCCTGGCCACCCTCCCAGACCATGTAACCCAATTCTAAGATGCTATCTTTCATGTCAGGCGACGTCTTGGCTCAGAAAACTGCTTTGCTTTGTTTTGGCTCAGCTTCATCTTGGAAGTTCTTCGTGTTCCTCTTTATGGGATTTGGGGTTCCTCCTTCTCCTCATGGCCTGTGAAGGCAACCCTGCCCTGGATGGCCAAGAGGCAGGGAGGGAGCAGTCTGAGGACAATGAATGGAAGGCACCTGCCTCTCCTGCTTCATCTTCCTCACGTTGCCTTCCTCCCACCCTAGGCCCACCGACAATCACCCGTCCTGGGCACCAGGAGACACGCTCCACCACTGCTCTCGAGGCTTGGAACAGGACCAAAGCCTTATGGTGCTGTTGGAGAAAATGTCTTGCGGGCTTCAAGTGCACAGGTGGAATGTTCTGGAGCAGGCTCTTTGCCTTCAGGAGAGTCGGTGGAGAACATTCCCTACTTAGAGCCAATTAACTCGCTTTCATTTCAGGTAATTAAAAAGCTAAGGACAGCCACCCTGTTGCAATTAGGAATTAGGACTAGACGTTATGGCTTCTAAAATGTCGTCATCATCAGGCCCAACAACAGCAACACAACATTTTGGCACTTGTACCATCTGGGTAACAGGATCGGGCAAGAAATGTACAGGGTAACTGTTGGACCTCAACCTTCAACAAATTAAAAGGCATCCTATTTATCAAAACCATTTCAAATCCAAAACAGATAAAGATACCCGCTTAAAAGGCTGTTTCGAAAAGGGGTGTCTGGGTGGGAGTGGGTGCAGGACTAGTGTGGGGATTTAGGGAATGTGGCCAGAGGGTGACGCCACTTAGTGACTGGTGTCAGCAACGGTGTCTCCTGAGGCTTCAGAAACTCTAATCAGGTACCATGAAGACCCTAGTATAAATATCCCCATTCCTTCCTGTACATATTGTCCCTTTAATAGATCGAAACATTAATTCAAAGTTCATTTTGTCTCTCGTTCTGGTGTCTAGCTCATGCCTCTTACACCAACTACTAGGAGGTTTGGAAAGCATTCAGAGTAAACTAGGGGGGGGGTGGCAAAAAAACTAAAGGAGGGCAGCATTAGGGAAAATGTTTGTTGGGTTAATTCCACATAAATTGGTAATGCTGACTCATGCCCCACCTGGCTAAATCTGGTGACTTTCTTATCCGTGTCACTGGGCAGATATGGCAGGTAAATTTGAGTACAAAAGGACTCGGGTGACAGGATACAGTGTTGGGTTGTGGTAGGAGTTTGCAGGTGAAGCACATTTTCTGCCCCAAAAGACACTGGTCCCTATAGATGGCTAAGGGTGCTGGGAATCATAGCTCTGTGAGGGGTGAGCTACATTTCCCAGAATTCTTGGGGAAGACAATGTTCCATGATTCCTGGGACTGTCAACATTTGAGGCCTTTATGCTGTTACAACGACCCTGTAATTGTTTGTAGCAGAGATTACAGTGGTACCTTGGGTTAAGGACTTATTTCGTTCCAGAGGTCCGTTCTTAACCTGAAACTTTTCTTAACCTGAAGCACCACTTTAGCTAATGGGGTCTCCTGCTGCTGCTGTGCCGCCGGAGCACAATTTCTGTTCTCATCCTGGAGTAAAGTTCTTAACCCAAGGTAATATTTCTGGGTTAGCGGAGTCTGTAACCAGAAGTGTATGTAACCTGAAGTGTATGTAACCCGAGGTACCACCGTACTGGTGAGCAGGCCTTTGAGTAGATAGAGAGGGAAGGACTTTCTTTAAATGAGAGGGGCCTGGATTCCTTCTTGTCACGGTAATCCTGGCTGCTTGGACACTTCAGCTCACTTGGGTCACCTTCCTCTTGTCAGACCTTCACAGGGGGGCACCCTCTCAGACCACCTCAGCCCCTGGCTCCCTTCTTCTGATCTTCCCCAAATGAGTATAAATAACAAATGGGGTCTCCAAATCCTGGTCTCACTTTCTCCCACAGGTTTTTCCTGGTCTCCTCCTCCCTGCACCTTCCTCACCGACTTCCTTTATTCCCACAGACTCCTCTCAGCTGACTCTGCCCCCAAGTACATGGAACTTCCAGCCAAACAGGGTCTGTGGTCACAAAGAGCAATGAAGATCCACAGACCTGATTTTGGCCCTGCTTAATCGATTCTCAGCACATTCCTCTCTCCCTGCATTCACAGGACCTCTCACCAAGGACTTCTACTGCACACAATCGCTGTGATGGCCTGGGAATGTGATTCAGAAGCTGAACCTGAGGAGTCCCGGCCTGCACAGGAGTCCCCGCCTCCAGGGCCGGCTGAGTCGGTACAGGGGCTTGAATCTGAAGGGCCTGCACCTGTGCCGGATCCTCAGGAGCAGACACCAGATGTATCCACTCTGGCTCCGGAGGTGATTGAGGACCCATTGCCTGCAGGTGCGCCTCTCCCAGCCCTGTCAGGGGAAGGTGAAGCTGCCCCTGGTCCAGTAACCCTCCAGCCTCTCCTGAGCTGCAGAGGCTCAGGGCAGAGAGGCAGAGGGAACTAAGTTCTCTCAGGAGGAGTGCTCGCCTTAAGGCCAGGAGTGGGCCGGGACCGCCCCTGGCCTCAGAGAAGATAAAGGCCAGTCAGCCCAGGCCCAGGTTGCGGGAGTAACGTTGTTGGAAACCTGTTTCTGCCAGCACCCAGACCTGTTATTCCGGAGTTCCCGATCACGCACGGCTTCTTGCTTTGGACCCCACTTCGCCCTTGGTGGACAGTCTCCAGACCCTCGACCCAGGACCAGACTCTGACCACGCCTCTCAGTAACCCCCCACCCAGGTCCAGCACAATTGCACACAATAGTACCGGTGGTCACACAACATTTTGCCCTCACAATGCTGCCATTCCCAACACCCCTAAGAGGCTACAGTGCCCAGAGTTCTATGAAGGGGGAAAGATGCTTCAGATGTGTTTTAAAGAAGTCGTCTGTATGTAGGTTATGCTCCACAGATGATGCTTCTGAAGCCTGAAGGAGTCAAGAGAACACCCTGAACTCCATTAAAAGGAACACAGAGAACATCATCCAAGGTGAAGCTGAGCCCAAATGAAGCAAAACAGCTTCCCGAGCCAAGGTGTAACCTGACCTGCAAGATACCTTTCGGAACATAGTATGGGAAGGTTGAATATTGTCCTGGTCTTGTGCTAACAGCTTAGGAATGCTTGTCCCTTCAACCTCTCAGTTTTAGATATCCCAGTTTCTCACTGTTTCCAAATGTGAATTCCGCTCCCTTCATGTCTACAGCAGTTTGTGATTTATTTATTTCTTAAGCCTTGTGGAAATTCATAAGCATCAGTGGAAAATTCTCCCAATTCCCCACATTTCAGCATGGAATTTTGCAATCAAAGTCCACCGATATAATCCACACTTGTATGTTAAGCTAATTCACTAATCTCTTCATTTTATGCACTCTTTCATCTTGACATATGGGTTTTTCTTTCTTTCAAAATATTGCTTGCTTGGGGAACAGCATCACACCTTCATACAAGTGCGTATTTCGAAGGGTGCAGTGTTTTGGCTATTATGTCAATTTGCAAATTGTGAATTGGATAGATTCACCTTTAAATGCAAACTAAACTCAACGCCCCTAACCCCATTCCTGAGTCCTCTTTCTGCTGACTTCATCCCGACTGGACACCTTGGAACTGCAGAAACAGCTTCCAAGGAGTAGCCGGGAATCCCTCCTTCCGCCCGAGCGGTGCCTGTCTTGGCAGGGACTTTCAGGCAGGAGAAGCTAATAGGGGTCAGCACAGATGGGTGTCAGACAGGATCAGACACATATCAAGGAGACATATTTGCGATTGCCAGTTGCCCGTCACGAAAGGTGAGCTGAGAACCAGTAAAGCAGGAGAAAAACACGCAAGAGGCCTCTGTGATACTGCAGTGAAGCTTTAATGGCTAGCAAGGAAGGAGGGAACATTCTCTGGGATCAACAGGTCAAGCAGGAGAAGAGCTTCAACATTAAGAGATTAAAGGAAAGCAAAACACTCATAAAAGTGTTCACAGGCGGCCAAAAAGGCCCCAGGCAAGAGCCTCGATGTGCAGATCTTCTGCCAATTCTGACTCAGTGAACTGAGACTTGCTTGGCAGAAATGGAGGACAGATACACTCAGCAGAGGAGGAAGGAAGATTTGCAAGGGGAAAGAATGTGTTACAGAACAAAGATGACATGTTGGCAGCCGTGGATAGTTTGCGTAGTGGGCACTCAGCATTTCGGACTTCCTGGCCCTCAAAAGCACAAACCATACGCAGGTTTCTTGACTCAGTTGTCAGTTTGGGGCTTTACATTAGGATCAGAAAAGCAGGCGATTCTCAACTGGGCACATCTGGTGAGTGACGTGACTGCCCTGCATTCTGTTCAAAATGTGAGACCATCCAAAGTATCAAAGGAAGCAGCAGAAGTGAATCCTCAATGAGGAATCGTGGCAGCTTGACACTGAATCTGAATTTTTTTACTATAGCTATAATATCCTCTATTCGGGGGGGTTCCTCTGGCATCTCCGAAGAGGGAGTTCCATTATTGACACTGGACATCTTGAACGAATCTTGGATACTCTGAAATGATACATTTTCAAGAATACTCTCAGAAACACGTGAAAACAGGGGAAATCAGACATTATCTCTCAGATAACCAGAGAAATATTTGTCAGACAGGGAGGAGGCAGTTCCCCTTACATTTCAGCTTTTATATTGAGATTCCTTTATGATGACTTAAAGAATGCATCTCCAGGAAGGAGACAGTTCAGATAACGAGAGATATAAAAGATTAATTTAATGTTGATTTTTAATTGTTGCAAGCAGGTCTGGGACAGTAAAGTGAATGATGTAAAACATTAAAATAGTGATTTTTAAAATGGAAAAGTCTCAATGATTCCCACCCCCATTTGACAGGTTGTGTCTCTCTGACCCTTCTCCCTCTCCCTCTGAAATTTGAGAGACTTCTCTCACGCTCTGGCCCTGCAGGATCCTTCCCCTTCTGGGGTCAGACTGTTGGTCCCCCTAGTTGAGTGTTGTTTTTACAGTAGGGATGGGGACGGGTAGCCTTCCAGAGCTTGTGGAACTACAACTCCCAGCAGCCCTAGCAGCCAACATTGGCCAAGGCCAGAGGGGGTGGGAGTTGTTTTACATCTGGAGGACCACAGGTTCCCCAGCCCTGCTAAGCTGTGAGTGGGATTGACGTCCCAGGAGTTCAGCTGAGCCTCTTTCCCTGTCGGACCTGCCTCACCCAAGAAAAGGCAAGTGTTTGTGGAGCAAAGCAGCCCTGCCTAAAGTGCTCCTCAGTCCTCCCATTGAGATGCAACGTGGGCATATCCTGTGACAATGGCACAGCACCTTTCTCAGAAGAAGATGAGGATGGGGCACTGGCCTGAGATTCCCAGAGGAAGGAAAATGGGTCCAGGGATCTTCCCATTACACAGAGCTGCTCTTTCAAACAAATGACAACCAGATCCAGAACAGGACATCTTTCCCTTGCCAGTTCTGATCTCTTAGGAGAAAGAGACTCCCCTTTTCACCCTCTTCTAACTCCATCCCAGAGAGTGCCCAGCTCCACATTTCAGAAGTCCTATTAGAAGTGGGATTTCTGTTTGAGCCCAAAACAATTCCAGTGGCACAGGGAATTGCATGTAAAGACCTGAAGGTCTCTTCCCAAATCTGATTTCCATGTGAAACTAAGCAGGAAGGCATGTTGGAAAAAAACCCCAGTAAATAACTGCCCCATAGTGAATCAATTACAAACTTATTTGCTCTAGTAATCAATATACTTAAAAGGAGCTTACCAAATGCTGAAGAAGCTGAGCAGACGAGGAGAGGAGATCTTCAAAAGCGCTGGTGGAAAAGCCCTACACACTGAGCCCTTTTATGCAGGTTCTCTCTGCACCTGCGGCGAATACTTTGGTGCAGCATCACTAATATGGCTAAGTATAGCCCACCTCCACTTTTTGGCCAGACTGTCCCTAGCCATTGGAACTCCATCCGACTGCAATGTAATCTGTTCCAAGAAGTTATTGGTCTTGTCAGCCTCCTGCTTGGCTTTCTTTTGTTTGTTTTTTTTAAATATATTTATTAAGATTTTCAAAATATTACAAAATAGAAAAAAGAAAAAAGAAAAATACAAAATAAAAATAGTTAAAAACAATTCAGTCTTTCAATCACTTATCTTTCATTTGCTTATTTCCCGGACCTCCTCACCCCTCCCTTTTCTGTATTCCAATTCAGTTTGTTAGTTCAGCAAATCCCTCCCCTCTTTGTCTCTCCTAGTCTTCAATCTTAGAGTATTGTAACATTAAATTTTTACCTATTAATAGTCCATTTTTTCATATTCCCTTATAACATTACAACTAGAAACCATTTATTTTTGTATCCAACATCATTCTAACATTCATTAATTTTACAATATTTCTGTAAATAGTCTTTAAACTTTTTCCAATCTTCTTCCACCGACTCTTCTCCCTGGTCTCGGATTCTGCCAGTCATTTCTGCCAGTTCCATATAGTCCATCACCTTCATCTGCCATTCTTCCAAGGTGGGTAGATCTTGTGTCTTCCAATACTCTGCAATGAGAATTCTTGCTGCTGTTGTGGCATACATAAAGTTCTATCCTTCTTTGGCACCAATTGGCCGACTATGCCCAGGAGAAAGGCCTCTGGTTTCTTTAGAAAGGTATATTTAAATACCTTTTTCATTTCATTATAGATCATCTCCCAGAAGGCCTTAATCTTTGGGCACGTCCACCAAAGGTGAAAGAATGTACCTTCGTTTTCTTTACATTTCCAACATTTATTATCGGGCAAATGATAGATTTTTGCAAGCTTGACTGGTGTCATGTACCACCTGTATATCATTTTCATAATATTCTCTCTTAGGGCATTACATGCCGTAAATTTCATACCTGTAGTCCACAACTGTTCCCAGTCAGCAAATATAATGTTATGTCCAACATCTTGTGCCCATTTAATCATAGCAGATTTCACCATTTCATCCTGAGTATTCCATTTCAACAGCAAGTTATACATCTTTGACAAAATCTTAGTTTTGGGTTCTAACAGTTCTGTTTCTAATTTTGATTTTTCCACCTGGAAGCCAATTTTCTTGTCCAAATTGTATGCCTCCATTATCTGATAATAATGAAGCCAGTCTCGCACTTTATCTTTTAATTTCTCAAAACTCTGCAATTTCAATTTGTCTCCTTCTTGTTCCAAAATTTCCCAGTATTTCGGCCATTTGGCCTCCATATTGAGCTTTTTCTGAGCCTTTGCTTCCATCGGTGACAACCACCTTGGGGTTTTATTTTCAAGTAAGTCCTTATATCTTATCCAGACATTTAACAATGCTTTCCTAACAATATGGTTTTTAAATGCTTTATGTGCTTTAACCTTGTCATACCACAAATATGCATGCCACCCAAAAACAGTATTGAAACCTTCTAAATCCAAAATGTCTGTGTTCTCAAGAAGCAGCCATTCTTTCAACCAGCACTGCTTGGCTTTCTTTTGACTCGGCTTCAATTTGGGTGATGTTCATTGTGTTCTTTTTAAATGTAATTTGGGGCATTTACTTGACTCAGCCCTGCTTACGCCTCTGCACCTATGAACACACTCGTTGTTGCAATCGCAATTGAAGCCCATTTTCTGCCTCATAGGACTCTCTACCTATAGATGGCTACGGGTGCTCTGTGAGGGGTAAGCTACATCTCCAAGTTTTCTTTGGGAGGAAAGCATTCTGTGATTTCCGCTATGAGCTATGATTAGCCAAATTAGTGGTGCTGAAGCAAGATATTCACTTCAGCTGCAGAGAGAAACTGTGTAAAGGGGCTGAGCGCGTAGGGCTTTTCCACTAGTGCTTTTGAAGATCTCTCTTCTTCCCCTCAACTTCTTCAGCTTTTGGTAAGCTCCTTTTAAGTAAATTGATTACTAGAGCAAAGAAGTTTGCAACTGATTGTCTATGGGGCAGTTATTTGGACAGAAAGGACTTCTTCACACAGAACAGAGTCATACTGTGCCAGTCTCTCCCATGTTCACACAAAATTTTGCCCTCACAGTGCTGCCGTTCCCAACACCCCTAAGAGTCTACAGTGCCCAGAGTTCTATGAAGGGGGAAAGATGCTTAAGGTATGTTTAAAAGAAGTCATCCGTATGTAGGTTATGCTCCACAGATGATGCTTGAGAAGCCTGAAGGAGTCAAGAGAACACCCTGAATACCATTAAAAGGAACACAGAGAACATCATCCAAGGTGAAGCTGAGTCAAAATTAAGCAAAGCAGCTTCCCGAGCCAAGGTGTAACCTGGCCTGCAAGATACCTTTGGGAACATAGTAGGGGAAGGTTCGATGTTGTGGGAAGATGGCTAGGAACATTTTGGTATAATCTAGAGTTAACTGAGGTAGGGTATACTTAGCCAAATTACTGATGATATGTAATGATACATTTTCAAGGATACTTTCAGAAACATGTGAAAACGGGGGAAACCAGACATTATCTTGTTGAATAGTTTTTTCAATGTTAGGGTTCATTATTGTTCCACAGAATGGGTACCACTTTAAAAGCCCCGGTGCATATTCTGACCTAGTTCTTACAGCTGAGTAGCAGGTGCTGATAAGTCAATGCAATTAGCTGTGTCAGCAGTTGTGAATGGTATGTAATGTGCTATATGTACCTTAATCTGCTCCCTGGTGGATGGATGGGTGATGATTATAACCACTATGTAAGATGTATTGTTAGGGGACGCGGGTGGCGCTGTGGGTTAAACCACAGAGCCTAGGACTTGCCGATCAGAAGGTTGGCGGTTTGAATCCCTGCGATGGGGTGAGCTCCCATTGCTCAGTCCCTGCTCCTGCCAACCTAGCAGTTCGAAAGCATGTCAAAGTGCAAGTAGATAAATAGGTACCGCTCCGGCGGGAAGGTAAACGACGTTTCTGTGCACTGCTCTGTTCACCAGAAGCAGCTTAGTCATGCTGGCCACATGACCCGGAAGCTGTACGCTGGCTCCCTTGGCCAGTAAAGCGAGATGAGTGTCACAACCCCAGAGTTGGTCACAACTGGACCTAATGCTCAGGGGTCCCTTTACCTTTTTAAGATGTATGTTTGAGGAGTTTTTGTTATTAAACCTTGCAAAGATCTCTCTGCGTCTCTTCGGTGATTCCATCTGTGTGGTCTACTCTGCATGCACTCTGTGGCATGTTTCAAATGCCCAATATCTCTCTCACATAACCAAAGAAATAATTGTCAGACAGGGAGGAGGGAGTTCTTCTTTCTTTTCAGCTTTTAGATTGAGATTCCTTTATGATGACTTAAAGAATGCCCATCCTGGAAGGAGACAGCTGGGGGGCGGAGGGTCTTTGTAGGGCCAGCAAGCTAGGAAACATCTCTCAGGGTGGGAGAACAGGCAATCTATGCTGCCAGGTGCCATAAGAAAGTGGCAGAGATAGCACATGATAGTACGCACCCCGGAAATGATCTCTTTCAGCTCCTGCCTTCTGGAAGAAGGTATAGGGTTATAAAGGCCAGGACTAGCCGCCTGAAAAACAGTTTCTACGCTAATGCAATTCTGGTTCTAAACGCAGCATAAGGGGTCTCTGTAGTATAGTGTATTTTAAAATGGGGTTTTAGAGTTTTTAGGGGTTTTTGAATGTTTTATGTAGTTTTTATGTAGTTTTATGTAGTTTCGTGGTAGTTTTATGTAGTTTTATGTAATTTTTCAATTTCATTGTTCCGCAAGGGACAATGACGATAAAGATATCGTATTGTATCGTATCGTATCGTAAGCATCCAGGTGAGACCTTCGGCCTGTGGGGATGAATGATATGACATGTAGGACATAAGGGGAGAGACTCCATCAGGCAAGGCCTCCTTCCACCTGCCTTGCTCTACCCTCTAGTCTCTGCTTCTCAATGCGTATTGTATTGTTTTATGTACTGTGGCTTGCCGTTGTTAAATTGATTATAGTTTAGATACTATTGTAACTGTTGAGTGGATTTCTGATTAACTTTTATATGTTGATATTATTATTGTATACTATTCTAATGGCTGTTGAATGTTACTTTTTTGATGGAGGTTGCCTATTTTAAAGTTGTGTTTCATTATCGCATTTTTGTATTGCATTAGATTGTTATAAGATGTACATTTTTTGTTTCTTCAGCTTGTAAACCGCCTTCAGTACTGTAAGATAGAAAGGCGGTATACAAATTAAAAATGAGGAGGAGGAAGAGGACATAAAGAGTCTTTCTTTTTCTTTTTCCTATATGATTGTGTTTGTATTTTTGTATAGATGAGATAGAGTTTTAGTGTTCAATGCATTAAAAAACGTTCAATGAAAATGTTATTGAAAAAACATTCGAGGCCTTATGCTGTTACATTGACCCCGCAAGCGTCTGTAGCCCAAATAATTGGGGAGCAGTCCTGTGAGCGGAGACAGAAGGAAGGACTTTGTTTAATTCAGACACATCAGCCACCATATGTCGCCTTCCTCTTGTCAGAACTTCGCACAGGGCACCCTCTCAAACCAACTCAGCTCCCTTGCACTGATCTTCCCCAAGCAAGTATGAAGAACACACAGAGTCTCCAAAACCTGATCTCAGTTTTCCCCACGGCTTTTTCATTTTTTCTCCTCCTCCCACCTTCCTCGCCAACTTCCTTTATTCCCACGGAATCCTCTCAGCTTCGAAACCCACCTGAGGACCAGGAAACATCCCAGACAGGAGCACTTTTGCCTGTATGGCTAAATTCCTGCTTTTTGGAACAGACAAAAGAATTGTGTATATGCAGGGCTCACTTAAATATTGTTGCATGCCACTTCAATCTCGAAGCAGTGAGAAACTGGGATATCTAAAATTGAGAGGTTGAAGGGACAAGCATTCCTAAGCTGTTAGCACAAGACCAGGACAATATTCAACCTTCCCATACTGTGTTCCGAAAGGTATCTTGCAGGTCAGGTTACAGCTTGGCTCGGGAAGCTGCTTTGCTTAATTTGGGCTCAGCTTCACCTCGGATGTTGTTCTCTGTGTTCATTTTAATGGAGTTCAGGGTGTTCTCTTCACTCCTTCAGGCTTCAGAAGCATCATCTGTGGAGCATAACCTACATACAGACGAC